CTTTCAAATAAAAATAAAGAAATAAAAAAAAATTTTTTTAAATGTATTGTTTATTGAATGAATTAACAAATTCATGCATGGATGACTTATTGACTAGACAACTAGATGTTTATGGATGAATAAGTCAATGGCTAAGTAAAACACTTTTATCACTACCGGAAATAGCCTATTTCAGTTGTCATTTGTTAAGATTCAACACTTTTGGTTTCTATTCAAATTTACTATTTTCTTTTTGTGATCCTATTTTGAAAATCCAAAGAGAATAATCATCTAATAACCCACTACAACAGTACACATAACAAATATTTATAGAGCAAGCCATGTGCTAAGAGCTTACTGTACATTCTCTCTAAATTTCCCCCAAAACCCAGTAGAACAGCAGCTCTAATTATTATAGTTTATTTGCTATAAAATCGCTTTTTATGAAAAGACCATGCCCTGGAGTGATGAGGTAACTTCTCCAAGGTCATGTTATTTGAAAATGTTGGCACTGGCTCTGGTATCTGCTCTTTAAATCAGAGCTCACATTTATAACCCCCACAATTTATTTCTTCTCATTTATTTATTAGTACCTCCCAAAGCCAAGTGTTGGGTCCAATAGCTGGTACTCAATAAGTGGTAGTTGAGCAAATTAACTAACAAAAATGTAAGTGAAGCTCTCTTCAGACCACTGTGGGAATTACCAAAATCTCAACGTGGATGTCTTCAAATAATCACATATATATATAAAAACAAACATTACAACCTCCCTTCCCCACATTCAAGTTTCCTCTCCTTGACACCAAGGTGACAACACAGAAAAATAAAACAAAACAAAAAATAGACAAATATTACAAAGAAATTCTGAACACCAAATTGCAACCATTGCATGCATTGATTCATACTATATAATGTGTTCATTAAATTATTGTTAACAAATACAACACGTAGTGTTACATTTTCCCCAGATCAACTAATGGGAAATATAAGGCAAAGCGTTTCAAGCCTTCATTCAGGAACACACTTCAGACATTCCAGAAATGTTTCTTAACAAAGGCTACATTTGTAAGAAAACATGATTTATAGTGTTGGTGAATTTATCATGTACAAGCCCATTCATTTTCATAACTCCTCCTTAGTGATCTGTCACAGAAACAAAGAACAGAGTACCACAAGTTCTCACTCATAAGCAGATCCTGAACATTTACCATAATACTATAAGAAAGGGATCGGCAGTAGCAGGATACTGCCAGGGGCTGGGAGGAGAACACGACATCAATAAGAGTACCTGATCTCAAACCAGGCAAAACTGGGTCCAAAGAGAGGCCCAAACTTTACAATAACCATTTGTATACCTACTTGTATACCTGTACAATAACCACTTGTATACCTAACCCAACATCTTTAAAATAAAATATATTTTTAAAAAACAACTCCTCCTTAAATTCCATTAAAATAAACTATCTCCCCCTAAATAGTATTTCTCCCCATGAAATAAATGAAGACATTCTTTATTTTGAGGGCACAACAGTACACCAGCACTGCCACCGGCTTGCATAGAGACAGACCAGCAAGTGAATTTTAGACGAGGACCCCTGAGGAAGGCCATGCCACCAGCCCCCTTAACAGGAGGAGGAAACAGCTGTAGACAAGGGAGATCCAGCAGGTGAGACAGGTGGAGTCGGGGAAGACCCAGACTCACAAGAAACCTCGGCGGTGGGGAAACTTCAAAGAGGTGTCATACATTGAGAAGTCGGGCCTGTAGTGTGAGCGTGCAGAGGACCCGTCTTCACATTTTCCAAGGAGAAATAAAGACAGACCTGGCTTGTCTGGCAAGACACCTCTGGCTGCAGGGTGGGGCATCGGATTTCATGGGGGAGGCAGTGTCATCAGAGAGGTGACAGAGGCCAGAACCAAGTTGATGACAGAGTGGATACATGTGCCTTTTTGACCTTATCCCTGCTTAGCATTGCACCTAGCACCCTGGCAGGATGGTGGAAACGTTGATTGTATTTGACAGAGATTTTTGCTTGCCTTCTGTCTCTGCTCCATTGTAAAATGTAATTCAATACTTAGCTTGGCAAGTCTGAATCCTTCAGTCAAATCCAAAACTCTTAGAGGGCACACATTTTTTATTTTATATTTGAAACATTCATTTCTAGTAATATGTGTTTTCAAAGCACACATGTGTGTGTCTTCATTTTATCTAAAGGTCTTTTCCTCTAATGAGTAAGTGGAAGCTAAGTGAAATGACTGTTTCCCCCCCACCTCCCCCAATCTCCACCACCCACACACCTCCCCCCACACCCCATACACATTTACCTGAATCAGGGAAGTTGAGAGATAACAGAGAAGTCAAAAGTAAATCACCATTAGGGATGCTTCAGAATGATAATTGTGTAACACTATAAAACTACAATCATAGCTATATTTAATTAGTTTCAGCATTTAATTTAAAATTTAGAAGTGCATCTAAATATTTAGAAAATCTAAACTAAAAGGAGCCTCCTCCACCAACCCCGCTCCATTTCCCATTTTCAAGCCTCTGTAGCTCCTCCACCTCCCCATTTCATCCTGCAGGGCGGAATCTTGCTGACACACAAGCCTCTTCTCCCATTCCTGGATTCCACTTTCACTCCTTCAAGGAGCCAGCAGGCTGCTCACCAGGATGTCTGGTCTTCCAAAATCTACGACTCCACACACAATATAAACGAGCTAACATGTGTGTGCAAGAGACTTGTTGAAGAGACAGAATCCGAATCAGCCGTCATATATGAGGGAGGAAGTGAAGAGAGCCTGATCTCTTGCAGACACAGCTACAGGGAGAGGTGTTCCATGATGGAAAGTGCGCAGGTGTGTCTGAGCACACTAGCGTCCGTCTTTTTAATGGTGCTTTCTTGAGAAGTATCTTATTCTGAGACTCCATCCATTTCTACTGGTTTCATAAAGTGACCTATTAGTTTGTGTAAATGTTGTCATTTCATCAGTTTGTTTTGATATTGTTATGCAGTAAAACAAGAAGTCACCAGTCCTACACTGATTCCAACCTGATTTTGAGAGCATTATTCGTCTGAATATTCTAAGTATGAGGATTACTAGCTAAGTGGGTTTGAACCAAGAAGTCAGAAATGTTAAAGATGGGAAGTGGCCCAGGTTTGGGAAGGCACATTTGGTTCAAAAGCAGAGAATTCCCAAAGTAGGTAAGACAAGCATGCGAAGGTGTCCAAGGATCTAAAAGGTGGGTTAGACAACAGAGGAGGACCCGGCAGACAGCTGGGCCATGCAAGACAATGCCTCCTGGAGATGGAGGCTGGGGATAAGGAGGCAGGAGGTTGTGGGGAGCCCTGATAGCCTTCCAAGATAGGAGCAGAATGAGAAAGTGAAACACAGGTGATGGGTCTGGAGACAGACAAGAAAAAGGAGCCATACAGGAGACCGCCTGCTCAGGCAGCCATCAGTCTTCCGCTGCACAACTCCCCTGAGGTCAGGAAGACCCGCTGTGGTCGCTGCAGGACTGGAGCCCGGACCACCCACCTACTTGGAATCCTGGTTTTGTTCTGTTACACCTGCAGCCCTTTTCCCTCTCTGCCACATGCCCAGTCCCTTTGGGTGCCTCACTCTCAGGGCATTTTTAAGCTCTAGATTTGGCATCTCTCCCAACACCTTTCCCCAGGTCACAGTAGGTCTCTATGTGAGACCTGCAGGCTGCATCCACTCCTGCTTAGGGCACTGTACTTCCGAAACTTGCTGCTCTGGTCCAGGCCCAGCTCCCCAAGCCCCACTCCTTGGAGATGCCAGGGGCAAGTGAAGAGAAGGAGCAGATCAAGTTAAAGGGATGACATCATCAGTGCCAAGCCAGGCCCTGTCTAGTAGCTGAAATGGCCATGGCAGAGAGGCAGAAACTAGTGTAGGGGAGACAAACATAGGAAGCCAAGGAAGAGAGGCAGAAAGGCACAAAGTGAGAAGAGCCTTCCTTGGATAGAAAAGAGAGGATAAAACATTTACCAACAAGAGCAAACTTGTAGGTGGGCACAGTAGCTCATGTCTGCGATTCCAACACTTTGGGAGGCCAAAGGATCACTTGAACCCAGAAGTTGAAGACCAGCCTAAACAACATAGTGAGACCTCCTCTCTACAAAATTTTTTTAAAAATTAGATGTGTGATGGCATGTATCTATAGTTCCAGCTACTCAGGAGGTTGAGGTGGGAGGATTGCTTGAACCCAGGAGATAGAGGCTGTAGTAAGCTGTGAGCACGCCACTGCATTCCAGCCAGGACAACAGAGTGAGGCTGTAACTCAAAAAAAAGTTGACTTTTCCAGAAATATTGAAATATTTTATGTATATGAGGTAACTCTATCTACATTTAGATAAATTATAGAACAAGAAGAAAACAGAACATTTAGTCAAAAAGTAAAACGACTGAGATCTAGCAGTTTCACATTTTTCTCCAAGACTTCAGTCACTGTACCAAAGTATGTTCAACTTTACATTCCCATTTTATCATAAAACTAAACATTTGCATTTTATCATAAAACTAAACACTTTTTTCATTACAACTGAGATTCATGCAGTATTTATTTTCCACTTAGGTGCACAGCATTTGGGAAAGGCACAGGACCTCATCTGGTCCAAATGGACAGGACAAATAGTTTTTTGGACAATGTGAGATTGTAATTGACATAGACTCTATCATCTATCACATTTTCTACCACCAGCTTTGAAGAATGTATTATCTGTGTATTTAAGTCATTGATAAATACTTTGAACACAAAGTGACTCATGGCTTTATGTATGGGACTCCCAAAGGGGAGAGATGCATGCTGAATTTTTAGTCAACTAAATAGTTCCACTCCTCAGTTCACCTTTTAAACATTCTGTCCAAGTAAATATGCCTATGGCCTATTCTACATATACTTATTATGCGCCTTATAGAATGCTCCCATAGATAAGAATCCATGACAAATAAAGAAGTCCGTAGACTCCGGAAAAGAAGTCACTGGAAGCGATGCATGGACCTACCTGCAGGTACTTGTGAATGTGCCAGGACGCTTGCTTCCCGTCGTTCACTGACTCCACCGTGGTATTGGCCATGCCCACAACGTCCCCCCCGGCAAACACCCAGGGCTCGCTGGTCTGCATGGTTTCTGGATCTACTTCAGGGAGACCCCATCTGTTAAACTTTATGGGGCTCAAGGCTTCTTTTACTGAAAAAGAAAAGAGTGAAAAGCAACAATGACTAATCTGTGCATCACATAACAATAATTTGAAAATTAATAAAAATTAAGATGTAATTATTGTTCTAGGGATTCAAGTCACTGTTTTTAGTGAACCGTAAAAATGAAAAGTTACTAAAATTTTGGCGTTAATAACACATTCAAAGTGTACCGACTTAATCAACTTTAAGTACAACTCTCATGTAGGAATTAAAGGTCACAAATTTGGGCAATGTTTCAGATCTGGCATTCGTGTCTAATAAGTATAGACTCATGAAGAGGCCCAGCCCTCTAAGTATATATAAAAGGCATTTTCTAAACTTTATCCATGACCATTATTTTCATAAATCTGCTATTATTCATATTACCCCAAACTTGTTCCTGTTTGTCAGTCATAAGTTATATCATGAATGTGGTCAATGACCAATCTCTTCCTTTTACAAAACATTCTGTAAAGCAAAATGAGACAAAATCTTTTAACATTTTCACCAAATTATTTGTACTTACTATTAAGCAATTTAATGGACACTGTAATCCAGTTACATTTAGCCCACAATTTCTGCTTTGTTTTATTAAAATCAACATGTGCAAACATGACTGTCAGTTCCTTGTGGAAACTGCCCTATAAAATAGTTTTGCAATTATTTGCCAAATATGCTGCATTCCCATGAACCAAAAGTGTCAAGAAATGTGAACGAGGTTGTATTTGCTTAAAAAAAATATCTAGAGGAGACTTTGGTTGAAAACATAATCCTGACATTTGGAAGGGATTAAAAAATGCAATTTAGAGAAAAGGCTGCTGGAGAGAAGAAAGGAAGAAAGGTAGGCAACACCCTTTCAATGGAGTCACAGAGCCAATGTTCAGAATAACAGGTCCCCTCCAAGTTCTCACGACATGATTGCAAGTACAGCATCTCAGGCAGATTAAGGGCCCTGTTCACGGCTCAACTCAGCTCAAAAGAGAAAACAGCAACTGGAACTCAAGGAGAGGAGCTTGGAAGATCCTGGTACAGATAAGTTCGTTGTTGAATTGATTAACGTATCAAATATAAAATAAAATAGCCAAATGCAAAAAAAAAAAAAGAAAAGAAAAGAAAAGAAAAAGAAAGACTCTGATGCCTAAAACCAATTTCTCCTGAGCAACATAGAAACAATAAAAATTAAAATAAACCTTGGTATATACTTGTGGTTTTCTACTAGAAGATTTGAATTGCAGGAAATTATTAAAGGATTGCTGTTGACGGTGTTTTTCCCATGGCACTGCAGGTTCCATGAGAACAGGACCGTGTCCATGCTACTCACTACTCTACCATGGAGCCTACCACAGATCTTGGCACAGAGAAGACACTTGATTTGATGGATGGATGGATGAATGAATGAATGAGTAGATGGGTCAATGCTATCATATTCAGGTTTTCGCTTTAAAATTTTCTACTGCTTATATTTGCTTTTCACCTTTCATCGAGAGGAAAATTAAATATTCATGTAATTATTTTCAAAGCAGAATGGCATTTTGAGAAGATTTTTCTAATGTCTTTAAAGGTCACATGAAAAGAGACCTTTATCATTTGTTCCCCATTGCATAACAGATCGTCACTACCATCTGTTGACAGTCACTTGAGTTGCAAGAAAGTCAGTAGTGAGTACGGCTCATCACTTCAACCTATTTTCATAATGGCAACTGTAACACACCATCACTGAACGGTGTATGCAATGAATTTTACAAATACAGACGAGGGGTAAAGATTAACTATTCTATAAGAGATGACCTTGTTTTCAAGACTTTGGCACACACAGATTTTCAATAAAGATGATTATTAAATGAGAAGGAATTCGAGATTATTCCCCTAGGTGATCAAAGCCCTTTTATGCATTTATATCATACGTTAGAGGAACATTCCTGGAAGCTAAATACAGATGCACTCCAGGCTTGAGCAAGGTAGGGATGACACCTTAGTCATCTTTGATTCCCACAGCATCCATGGAGTCAAAGACGTGTATAGCATTGATGCTTCATATCTGTGGGTTTCACATCTGTGGATTCAGCCAACCACAGATCAAAAATATTTTGGGGGAAAAAACGGATGTTTGTGTCTGTACTGAACAAGTGCAGACTTTTTCCTTAACGTTATTCCCTAAACAATACAGTATGACAACTATTTACATAGCATTTACACTGATTGAGATAGCATAACTAATCCAGAGATGATTTAAAGTGTCTGGGAGGACATGCATATATTATATGCAAATCATATGCCATTTTATATGAGGGAACTGAGGGCAATTATGGTCTTGGGTATTCATGGAGGGTCCTGGAACCAAGCCCTCATAGATATAGAGGGACAACAGTGCTGTGAGAGAACTGAAGCTTAAGTCAGTGCATTTCACGAGCATAGGATGCTTTCAAAGGTCTGGGCCTAATTTTGAATTTGTGAATTTGTTCAAAGTTGGAATCTTCTCTTGATCGTAGTGCATTATACACAGTAGGTGCTAAATAAATGTTTGATCAACTGAATTGAAGCTCTTGAGGAATGTGCTCTATAATGTTTTAGGATGCAACAATGTTCATAGTACAATTCACTTTACTATTCAACCTCCATCCCAAACTTGGTCAATAAGTAGTCAGGAGATGTTAGCAAGAGTTTAACAAGCAGCTTTGCATTTCTTAAAATATTTGGCACCTCCGGGTTCAGTGGCTCAGCCTGTAATCCCACACTTTGGGAGGCTGAGGTGAATGGGGAGGCTGAGGTGAATGGATTGACTGAGCCCACGGGTTCGAGACCCGCCTGGGCAACTTGGCAAGACCGCATCTCTACAATAAAATAAAATAAAAAATTAGCCGGGTATGGTAGTGCGCGTCTGTAGTTCCAACTACTTGGAAGGCTGAGGCAGAAGGATCACTGGAGCCCAGCAGGTCGAGGCTGCAGTGGCCGGGAGCGGCCACTGCACTCCAGTCTGGATGACTCCAACTCAAAATATATATATATATATTTGACACCAACAACACAAACTACTCTTGGAGCATTTATGTGTGAACTCAGAAGCACTCTTCCATTCATGGACATTTCTACTGTAAACACATTGTATTACTGTGTGTCCTTAAACACTCATGATACACATGTATGCTTTTAACAATAAGCTTTCTTTCCTCAATATTTGATTCATTTATCCTTTGAAGTCTTAAACCTGAATATCAACTGTTTTAATTACTTTATCATTTGTAATGCTTAGCTAACATCAGTAAAAATAAAACAATTCTTTGATACTCTATTTCAAAATAGAAAAAGGTCTTCTTTCATTAAAAAAAGTGATCTCAGCCTTCTTTTGCAAGGTTATATTACAAAGTATTTTAAAAAAAGACAAAAAGAAAATTTTCTAACTGATGTTTCCCCTGCCCTTTTTGGATGCCTTCAAGTTAACAAGTTCCTAATGTCATTCAGAAATAAAAATAAAAACAGGAGGATTGGACAGCTGGTTATGATGCTATTAACATCCATTAAAATAAGATCATCTGTATCCATTTTAATATCTAATACTTGGCTCATCGATATCTACAAAAGGATCACTAAAAAAGTAGAGCATGGAAAATCTGTACAAACATTAGCAAGGCTGAACCAGGTTGGAAATGTGTTCTTTGACTGGCACTAAGCCCCAAGAATGTCTGTTTATCACAACCTGAACATCTAGTTGGGAGCATGTACCCATTGGTACAGTAGATTCTCTTTAAGTGCATGTAATATTTATATATTATTCATAAAGGTATTACAACTTTCTAAAATCTGACTACGGATCCAAATGGCTTTCCCAATTTCAGAAATTCTTTTGAAATAATAGTCATTTTAACAATTACTTAACCATATTTTTTAAGCTAAGAGCTCAAATCAAGGATTCAGGGGGAAAAAATTCCTGTGCATTGTATTCATAGTTAGTCAGAAAGGAATTCGTTTATTTAGCTGCTTCATAGGAGGAAAACTTTCATCCTCCTCGTCATAGTGGCGGTGTGTCTATGAACCCCTCAGTTCTCTTACATCTCTACTCATACATTTAGCTTGGAGAACAATGAAAATACATCTCAGAAGCGCATCTTCTGTTGTGCTTTTATCCAGTTTGGAAGGAGCGAAAGCATAAGTGGATGAAAAATGTATATTTACATTTGCAAACCAAATAACTGCTTGCCATTTCCTATGAAGTGCTAAATGAATATTAATAAAAGGATTGTGTTTTTTTCTTTCTTGTTTATAAAATAGAGGTGTGGAGAGAGATTTTCTGTTATGTTATGCAGTTTTCTCATAGATTTCCATGAGATTGCATATAGTGGAGACCGTGGCACATGTCCCAGGAGCTCCAGAGTTGAACAAAAAAAGGACTTGAAAAAGAATCCCAAAACACACTTATTCAGTCTATATTATTTTGCAAATGGGAGAGAAATGTGTTAAATGATATGGTGCCTGGAATTTTATGCAGTCTTTATAAAGAATGAAAACGTCCTTAATTCATACCAAACATTCAAGATTTATGTTAATTTTCTGCTTTAATTACTACTATGTTCAAATGAGCTTATTTAAAAAACAAAGACACTCTGAGGTAGCTTTATAACAAGAAATGGTTTTGAAATGGGAACTTTTAGTCAATTTAATGTTATGCATGAAATGATTTTTATATAGACTTAATTGTATTGTGACACACAAGTTCTTCAATAAGCCACAGCTTAAAATTGCAGAAATCATCCCTCAGGGACACATTGCTAGCAGATGCAGATTGCCAAGGTCAATTAAACTGGTGTAGCTGCACTGTCATATATGTAGACGAGAAACCCACAAGCATATGACAAGTATATTTCTTGGTATTTATAAAAAGATGTCAAGAATGTTATATTTTAGTACAAAAATATAAATTAATTCTCCATAAACAATACGACAGGAGTCATCATGAAGAAAGATTATTGGTATTCTTTGAAGTTTGATGAGTTAGAAAACAATGGGGGAATGAAA